TTAAGAAAGAAAAGTTTATTTAAAAGTAAATTAGAGCCGGGCTCGGTGGCTCAGCCTGTAATCCCGTGCCTTTGGGAGCCTGCGGGTTCAAGACCCGCCTGGGAAACGAGACCTCATCTCTACAATAAGTCAAAAAATCAGCCGGGTGTGGTAGCGCATGCCTGTAATACGGGCTACTCGGAAGGCTGAGGTGGAAGGATCGCCGGAGCCCAGCAGGTCGAGGCTGCGGTGACCGGGAGCAGCCACTGCAGTCTGGGCGACAGAGTGAGACTCCAACTCAAAAAATATATATTATTAATGTTATCAATAACATTTTTGTAGTCAGGCTCAGTGGCTCACACCTGTGATCACAGCACTTTGGAAGGCCGAGATAAGAGAATTGCCTGAGCCCAGGGGTTCAAGAGTAGCCTGGGTAACTCGGCGAGATCTTGACTCTACAGTAAATCAAAAGATTAGCCAGGCATGGTGATGCCTGCCTTTAGTGCCAGCTTCTTGGAAGGCTGAGGCAGAAGGATCACTTGAGCCCAACAGGTCAAGACTGTGGTAGCTGTGATTGTGCCACTGCAGTCCAGCCTAGGTGACAAAATGAGACTTCAACTCAAAAATAAAAGTTTTGTTAAAAGCTGTGTTATATAGTATCAAGCAATTAAAATGACTAATTTCTTCTGTGAAGCAACTCATTCGCAATCCCTGACGTGAAATTTTGTCATTCCAAATTCTGTTTCTGAATGCTGCAACGTTATATTTGTTATTTTACTTTGAAAATGAATAGTCGCCTGAGCCCGCGGGTTCGAGACCTGCCTGGCCAACTTGGTGAGACCTCATCTCTACAATAAATCAAAACGAGCTGGGCTTGGTAGCCCGCGCCTGTAGGTCCAGCTACTTGGAAGTCTGAGGTGGAAGGATCACCGGAGCCCAGCAGGTCGAGGCTGCTGGTGGCCAGGAGCAGCCACTGCACTCCAGTCTGGGTGACAGAGTGAGACTCCAACTCAAAAAAAAAGAAAATAGTCAGGCAAGGAGAAAGTTATTGAGATAATTGTGTGATGTCTGCAATGTTAATGATTTATATAGTTGGCAAAAATAGCGAGTTGGTCATTTTGTTGTGATTAGTGTTGTATGCTTTTATTTTGATATTTCTTTTGTTTTTTGAGTTGGAGTCTCACTCTGTCGCCCAGACCGGAGTGCAGTGGCCACTCCCGGCCACCGCAGCCTCGGCCTGCTGGGCTCTGGCGATCCTTCTGCCTCAGCCTTCCGAGTAGTTGGAACTACAGGCGCGTGCTATCACGCCCGGCTAATTTTTGATTTATTGTAGAGATGAGGTCTCGCCAAGTTGCCCAGGTGGGTCTCGAACCCGTGGGCTCAGGCATTCCACTCACCTCAGCCTCCCAGGCTGAGTCACCGAGCCTGGCTTATATTTTGATATTTCAGGGCTTTCATACTTCTTTTTCTATTTCGTTTTTGCTTCTTTGGGGGGAGGGGCTTTCATACTTCAACATTAAAAATAATTTACTGGCTAGGTGCGGTGGCTCAGCCTGTAATCCCAGCACTTTGGAAGGCTGAGGCAATGGGATTACCTGAGTCTGGGGATTCGAGACCAGCCTGGGAAACTTGGTGAGACCTTGTCTTCACAATCATTCACAAAAATTAGCTGAGCGTGGTGGTATGCATCTATATTTCCAACTACTTGGATGGCTGAGATGGAAGGATGGCCTAAGCCCAGTAGATTGAGGCAGTGGTGGCCGTGAGCGTGCCACTGCACTCCAGCCTGGGCGACAGAGTGAGACTCCCGACTCAATAAAATAAATAACTTACCATAATTATGGAATATGAAGAAATGTATGCAAATGAGATTTCCAAGGCCAAAGGTGAATCTAGTGAACTTATTAGTGAGATGGATAGTGATGTAATGATGCAATGTAAGTGAAGAAATATATATAATACAGTTTACAATTCGAATAAAAATATGATGTACGAAATGCTAGAGTGATGTCTGAGGCAAATACTGAATATTTCTGCAACTTTCAGTGGTATTGCGGAAAAGGTGACAATTTAGAAAGGCTATTTCACTTGTGCTTAATTAGACAGAAGTTTGTGGAAACCAGCTTCAGACTTTTATTTTCACTGGCTCTCAATAATAGAAAAGTGAAAAATTTTCTGATCGCAAATCTGTTAAGTTACATTTTATGTGATGGTACGGTTTTTTGTTGTTTTATTTTTTATTTTATTTTTTATTTTTTTTTGAGTTGGAGTCTCACTCTGTCGCCTAGACTGGAGTGCAGTGGCC